TCATTCGGGTCGTGTTTCTGAAATGCCCAAATACTGGTATGAAGATGGCCACTTGTGAATAGAGGACTTTGATCTACCCCGATCTTCATGCATAAGAATATCAAATTTCCAGGGTTTAGAAACATTCAAAGACCGTTGCTAGCTGTTTACATGTTTTGCGTGGGTTATCTCTCTAAGAAGCTCCTTTTCTTCGGGGTCACAGGTTTCCCTCCGTTACGAAACCAGAAATGTTATTGCCGAGTTAACAGGGACACGCCAATGGAAACTGTGCATAGCCCCTTAAATTCAGCCTCTCATATTTAAGAGTAATTTTAATAATAACCTCTCGTTTACGCATGTATTTCCAAAGAGGTGTATTATCTTGAGTCTTTTAAACTAAAATTTTGTATAAATTTCTTATCTCTCATGTAGGTTTTTCTCGCCCTTCTGGATCCAGTGTCCCTAGCGAAATGTCACGTGACATATATTTCAAGACGAAAAGTTACTCTGTTGTTATTTAAAATATAATTTTTATTCAGTTTTTCTAAGTTATTTTGAAGCCTCAATTCATTTGTTGCTTTTATATAATTTTTTGTATTGATCTAATTATACGAAGCTTAATAATTTGAGCTGTGATGTTTCCTGGACGACTTTCTTACAAATCTGAAGTCGTTCAAAGGTGACTGATTTTACACCCTCCCTTACAAACTGAAATACAGATCAAAGAACGCAAGAACGGATCGCTTCTCTCTTCCATTCAGTATTTTTATTTCCAGCGGGACTTTATTGGTTTCCCTCTAAGAGATGTTTCCTCTTCAATGACCTTTTATATTTCTGGTCTTTCTACCTTACCTAAGTGGTTGACGTGGATTCTGTCATGAAGGATATGGGTGGGTCTTATCAAGTAAAACTAAAGCCTGTATAAGATACTAATTTCAATTAATTCAGCTTCAAGAGTTTTCAAACGGTCCCAAAGCCGAACCACACTGATCCAATCTGCACTAACACTCTTAATATTATTCTCCAATTCAGCTTATATCTTTGAGATATTCTCTTCCTCGCAGGCTTCCCAACTAAAATTCTGGATACGTTTTACATTCTCCCCATGTGTGCTACATGTCCCGCCCATTTCATCCTCCTTGTTATGGTCACTGAAGAACGGCCTAATTCCGAGGCCCAGTGTAAGCCTAGCGGTTCGTATTATGCTAGCCGTTTCACGGTTATGAATTGTCAGTCATCACCCAGTTAGCATGTTTAATAATCACCCATTGTCGGCTGTCCTTCACTGGCTCTCAACCTGAAATCTGAGATCTCTTTATGCATTGCTGACAAAGAACTCGCTTAAGAAGTGTGATGATTGATCACTTCAAAGCTCAACATTGTCCAAGATTCTGAACCACCCGGTTCCCAAACGGTCCCAAAACCGAACCACACTGATCCAATCCGCACTAACACTCTTAGATCCATCTTAATATTATTCTCCAATTCAGCTTATATCTTTCAGATATTCTCTTACCCGCAGGCTTCCCAACTAAAATTCTGGACACGTTTTACATTCTCTCCATGTGTGCTACATGTCCCGCCCATTTCATCCTTCTTGTTATGATCACCGAAGAACGGCCTAATTCCGAGGCCCAGTGTAAGCCTAGCGGTTCGTATTATGCTAGCCGTTTCACGGTTATGAATTGTCAGTCATCACCCAGTTGCCATGTTTAATAATCACCCATTGTCGGCTGTCCTTCACTGGCTCTCAACCTGAAATCTGAGATCTCTTTATGCATTGCTGACAAAGTCAGCAAGAAGTGTGATGATTGATTACTCCAAAGCTCAACGTTGTCCAAGATTCTGAACCACCCGGTTCCAATCTCCAGAAACTATCGCCTAGATCAGTGATCTACAGCCTTTTATCTTTACCCCAGACACACACTAAAATACGAAAGACACGTGAAGGCACACCACAAAATTGTGTATGTTGTTATATCCGTTGAAGTGTATGGTGGTCATTTGCTGTTAAGGAATTTTGAGTTTAATGGGATAACATTGTAACCGCTAGCAGGGTAATGCTGTTAAAATTAGTCCTATTATGTACATTTACTACAACTAAGCACAATTATATTAATCTCCATATAAGAAAATATATGAGATTCTGGTTACATGAAATCGTATATAACTTATTCTTTAATAGACCAAAGATATGTAATGATATTAACGTTTTTATACAACATTATTAATTTCAAATTCTACGTCCTGCTTCGTTAAAACTGGACTGAAACGAAAAATTTTGCACTTATCCATGGACAACTATGGACCATAATGTGCTTATAAAAATCATAGAAAATATATTTACGTGCTAACGCTCCTCAACGTTTCTAATTAAGCAATGATAAGCAACTATTTTAATTTTTCACACGCTAAATTATTACACTTTTCAACAGAATAATTTTTTTTTTTAAATTTTCTTTTCAAATCTTGACGGGAAATTTTCTAGTCGTAAACATACGTCACAGCCAACTTAACTTTCGGCAACATACAAGCTTCTTGAACACGTGCAACCGAAACAGCATCATTAAATAAACAAGAAACAAACTTCCTAATTTTAGATACAGAATTATCGTATCGCACCTCATTCGCAATGTAAAAGCCCCTAGTAGCTGACATGGTATCATGAAAAAATGAAACATACAACATAAGTTTGCATTTCTGTAGCTGCAGTATCAGTCTACACTGCAGTTCCTTCTTTGCTTGAAACATCTGAACAAAAAACCCGGCGAAGACTGACACAGCCACTCCAGACCAACCTCTTGATTTCTAAAGAAAGCTCGGTCATTCGTCGGTAGTTTATTTCTAACAAAGTGTTAAGCACATCGCGACCCCAAACAGGATTTGTTCTTTCATTTCGGATCTAAAATCGATGAAACGTAAGATCCTTCGAACAGCACAGGGCAGGGCTACCTACAGTTAGCGAGAGAGGATAAAAGCGGAATCTCTGTCACCCAATAAGTCCTCAGCTTACTTCACAGTCACTTACTTTCACGCTTGGTTCGTATGAAAGAGGATTAAGGGATAACCGGAGAAAAATACTCGAAAAGGAAATGCGAATCAATACAATTAAATAAAAATGTTCTGATTGTATGCCTTACGCTCCAAGGCGTGTGTATCTGCACGGCTATTAAACAAAAGATTAAAGGTTAGGCGTACTCCAGTGTGGAGTACATGTATCTTCCGAAAATTTTTACGTATTAAAATTAAAGTTCTTTAAATTATAAACATTAATCAGAAAACTAAGTAGGACTTGAGTTATTCAAGGCGGTGATTCTGAAGATGACTGTTTTCTGGATTGATGCGATGTGTAGTCTGGTAGATGTTTATCGACGTTTCAGAGGTCCTTGCTGAGTCCATCAACCCGTCGATGATTACGTCGCTAAACTTTTACCAGACTACACGGCGCAACGACCCAGAAGACAATCCATCTTCAATTATAAAACTATTTAAATGCGTAATTACGAGTATGTACTTTCGTCAGCAACTGATTGGAAAGCAAATGATACCAGTACGCAGTTAAATAATTGCCTCCGAGACACATGTTACCCTGACAAATGCATTCACACTGTAGCCTGTTAGTGTCGGACAGTGTCTTTATTTGTATTCTGTTAAATATTTACGTATAAAATTTGCAGACAAAAGTTGTTTACCTTAATAAGACATACCATAATTTATATTTATATCATATCGTTATGCACGTTAACAGAACGTCAGCAACACAACGCTTACATTAGAATACTGACATATTAAATTTAATTGTTTACTGTATGTTCTTTAAAAAAATTGTCAGAAGAAAATGACTGTGTAATTTCGCTTTTTACGCCTGTACCTGCTTACTTTAATTATAATTAATATCAGTAGCTTAAACAAATAATCCCTATTAGATGTACAACAGAAAGACCATGTAAGAACAATTTAATTTATAATTTATAACTTGTGTTGGGCAAGGCCGTGGTCTAGGCAACACGGAGTTTTCCTCCGGGGGCTTCCCCGGTTTCTCCGTGGCGTCCCAACAATTACTCCATTCACACACATAAGAAGGCAATGGCAAACCACTTCTGGATCATCTGCCAAGAACGTATATGAACAGGTCCCAGTCCGAGAAAAGGATGGAAGGATCCTGTTCATATGGACCTGTCGTCAGACAGAACGCTACAAATAAAAAATATATAGCTGTTTAATATTTATTTCTCAGAAGACTTTGCACAAAACCCCAAGTAAACAGTTAGACCTGTAAAGTGAGATATTAAATTCGACAGCCTACATTATTCAATGATCGATCTACAATAGCATTACACTGATAACAGTGTACAGCAACGGGCATGAGTAACTGACTCCAAAGAGTTTCATACACATTCATGGGCTTGCTGAAATATGAACACAGAGCATCCAAAGCGAATTCTTAATACGAATATAGCTGACGTCCGAGTCGGAATCCTAACCAGGGACATCCTAAACACTGTGCAGGGAAACTACCTATTGCACCAAGAAACTCGCTGTGTGTCCTTTTGATAACATATTCTGAAAAATTAAAATAATTTAGAGTTGTTTTTAAAGGTTAATTTGTTTATTCCTAGGTAATAATTTTGACACTTGAATCAAACCGTGGTGGTTACAGCGTCTTTCTTGGGAAGTTTGACTTTATGCGAGTGTGTGTGTGTGTGTGAGACCCTCATTTTTAACCAGAACTTGGAGAAGACGGAAGCCGATTCCTTCCCAGTCTTTGACCTTGCTACAGAAGCCAACTACCATAACACGCATCTGAATTGTTAAAGTGACCTATGTCTAAATTATGCATTAAATTAGCGGTGTAATGTTAACTGCGAAATTATTATATTTTCTGACCTTGTAAGCGAGAAAGGAATTAACATTTCTACGACTGAGCTGTTATTAAAATCTGTTTATAAATATTTAGCCATTTTAATTTGTTTAATTAACATGTGAAAAACGTGGAACAATACCCGAAATATTTTTTATTTTATTTCAGTGGATGTATGCAGCGTTGGATGAGGTGGATACTTGATCATAGTCATGGGTGGAGACGTAATGGAAGGAAGCGGTCGTGGCGTATTTCATTGTACCAAGGTAGGCATACTGTCACATGTAATAACAGAGGAAATCTGCAAATCTTTTATTACGTTCTACCTACTCAAGTTATATTAGTACAGATATGCGTTACTTTTAATAATAATCTGTTATGTCCTCCGATCAGAGCAATTGTTCACTACCTGATAGTAGTTTGACAGTTGAAGAAATTCTCTCATTTATAGAACAAGAATGTTCATAAATGTTTTCACAAAAGCCCGAAACTGATATTTTCATTTTGACAGTTGAATTCAGTCTAGACCCTCACATCATATTCCTTCAAGATTCATCTCAGATATAGCTTTCCATCTACTTCAAGATGTCCGAAGTAAAAGTCATGTTTACGTTTTAAGTTATAAAGCATAAGTTATGAAGCTGATTATTATTTAATTTCCAATGTAATCTTTCTGGTCCAAATATTCTTTCCAATCCTCCGAAACTTTCTCAGTTTATAGTCTTAGATATTAATACTTTTTTAAGTTATGTTATTTAAATTACTGTATCAGATACTATTAAAGTTTAGATTTAATTTGATTAAAGTTAATAAAATACATAACAGCTGTGTGGAATGAATGTGTAAAATGTAAGAAAATTAAAAGTCCATATCGAAAGTCGTGCCTGATCAAATTTTATTTAAAAAAATTGGGCGTCTAGCCAAGATTATATCAGCCTTAAAGATGGAGGCACTGAGTTCTTCCGAAACATAGCTTTCTCTCTATAAGTATGTCTACATGGCGTTACTATCCAGAAGACACGGAAACTATCATTCTTATTTTATTACGTGTAATATACTAAAGAACAGTGCCAAAATAAGTAGTTTGAAACTACCATTCTTATTTTATTATGTGTAATATACTAAAGAACAGTGCCAAAATTTCATGGAATGATCTAATTAACACTGAAATTTTAGTTTTAAACTATAGTCCAGTCATTAGGTAAAAATATATTTTGTTACCTTACGAAAAACATTGTCTGTGATATTCTTTTGCAGAAAAAAAACATTAAAAATTATTCTTTCAGATTAAATGAAGTTGTAAATCAGTTTATTTTGTTCGTTACAACATGTCAGTGAAATTATATCACTTCTTAGAAGATGGATCATTATTCTTAATGCACATTGAACGGATGCCAACAGACACTTAAATCATTGTTCCACTGAATCACTCGGCGCGCAGTTACTACTGAGTCTCCTCCGCACCAAGTCCGTTAAGTAAATATTTTCCTTCACTATGAATCATTAATCAGTATCTAGCAACTGGAAATTAACGAACCAACCCCTCTCTCTTCTCCAGCATCCCCTACTTTCCACCCTTTCTACTTCTATCACGACTTGCTTTCCTTTACATAAACTTACAGGTAGTTAGCTGATGCTTTGGTTGGTACAACATATTACGTCATAGCTACTAGTCGTAGATTGGAGGCTGAAACAATAACATTTAAACTCAACAATAACCACCCCAGGGTTTGATTTATACGGTGTGGTTCATGTTAGTGCTACTGAAGTAGTGGGCGAGACGAAAAATGTTGCTGCCTTGTTCTGATAATACAGTGGGTACAGTGGTTTATACAGTTTATACAGTGTTTGGAAAATCTGTCTAGTTCTCCACATGATACGCTAGAGTAGATAAACTGAAGTAAGTATTTCAGTTCGCTCAATTTGGTAACTGCTTCAGCTTTCTCGTAGAGTCAACTTAGTTCATAAAACGAAACTTTTGGCATCATCATACACTGTGGCCAACTATTCTGAAAATAAAAATTACGCTAGTCTCCGACACTTCAATTAATGATTAACTATGATATTAAATAAAATAATTATTATATTTGTTTACCGTCAAATCACAATAAAATAGTAAGATAAGATAATTAAAATGATTAAAATATCATCTTATGTTCCATATCGAGCATTCGATTTACATCGGAACATTCACAACATGTTTCGGTTTATCAAACCGTCATCAGGTGTAAATTATAAACTTTTAAACTCAAATTACAATTATTTATA